GTGCCAATGGATGGTTTAGTAAATTTCATATTTGTCAAAATTTTACAACTTTTAAATTAAAATGTTCATAAAAAAAAACTAAGATTACTTGTATAACATATATATATATTTTTTAAATGTTAAGAAAGAAAAAAAAGACTAAAATAGTTTTAGCATTTCGCATTTCCTTATTTGGAATTTAGCATTAGGGTTGAAGATGGTCCTAATATATACCGAAAGTGCTAAAAACATGTTGTGACTTTCGAAATCTAAACAATTCCAGACAGGACACAAAGAAATTATTTTTTTATGAAAAAATAATTCCATCTTGTCCCAATATATATACCGAAAGGGCAAAAAACATGTTAACTTTTGGAATTTAGCATTTCTGGATATCTTATCCTTACTGCAAATAGGACACAAAGAAATTATTTTTTTATATGGAAAAAAACGAAATCGTGATCTAATATGTACAGTGATCACAGCATATCTTGTGATATATGCTCCGCAGCTCTTGTCCGAAGAAACTTTGGCCCGCGAAACTAAAAGTCTGTCAGTTACTTCACAAACGTGGATAATTAACTTGTCTCCGCTTCTACAGTTGTTTCGAGGGAGGATGGCCTTTAGGAAGGGGATTGTGTTGAGCTCGATGTTTAAAATATCTGTATTAGTAAAAATATCGATATGTAAATTTATGAAAATATTTATAAATATACTAAATATTGAATATCGATATCTATATCGATATCGGTTGCTATCAATAGAAATGATGGAAATTTAACAATAAAATTTTAGGGTTTGTCAAACATTGATTTCGAGGAAATATAAAATTTTCTCCAATATGTAATAAATATGTCAGAAATATCAGCAATATATGCTTATTTTAGATTAATTAACAATGTGAAGCGAAGTTTAGACTTCAACCCTCATTTCTATATCTTTCTCTGATTTTTTGCATATTTTTCATGGAAATGTCAACCGTATCAAAGAAATTTTAAACTCTGGTTGAGCCGAGCCAGAGGGATTGTTTAATACTTTGTTCTTTGATGTAAACGTTACCATTCTAATCTAATGAAATTTCTAACTTTAGAAAGAAAAAAAATTATTGCGTTTCAAATTCAAATTCTTCTACTATTTTTAGTGTAGAAAAATTATATATATATATATTGTAGACATAACTTACTGAACAATTATAAAGTCCATAGAAAGAGAGGGTGCGGCACATAGAGAGAAGAGAGAGATGTGTAATTGTGAGGTATGTTCTATTTCATCCCATTGTGCCTTTATTTATAGTAGTAGAGAAGCTTAATTCCTTACCTAAATATGATTACAACTTTAATAGGATAATATCTAACTCTAGAGAATATTCCAATATATCCTTAAATACACTAGGATTTACACAATCATATTCCTAATCTAATAAGACTGCAACATTATATAAATGTAAATTTTTAAAAGTAATGTTACTCTTACCATTTCAAATATACCACAATTTCATACCATTTTATGTAACAATTAAGGTGGATAATCCACGTCAATTAAGAAGAATTTTATGACAAATGAGACGGATAATCACATAAATTAAAAAAATACTACGATTTTTTCATTAATAAAAAAAGATTAAGAAATCAATCTCTTGCCATCGTCGTCTTGGTTCTCAAGATTAAAAAAATCAATCAACCTCTAATTTTTAAGTGTCATCAGTGTATGTTCCTCCCTTCCTCTTGCCATCGTCACTTTTTTTTGTTGAAATTATTATAGGCTTCTTGTATTTTTTTTTTCCTTTCAATTTTTATATGTCACTAGAGTTTGGATGGAGTGCCAGTTAAAATAGGAGAGAGAATAATTGAAAGGAATGAGGGATGAAATGGATGAGGATTCTCTTTAGATTCATTCGAAATATGAATGAAAATGAAATAGGAGAAGAAAACATAAAAATCACAATTTATATATTTTTAATTAAAAATCTATGAAATTTAAAAACTCAATTTAGCTGATTTAGACATGTTCAACTCATACGTCCTCTAAAGCGAATTATCGTGAAGATGTTCTTCACAACCTGCCGACATTGTTGGAATTTTGGCAAAGAAGTGAAGAAATAAAATTACAAATTTCGAAACTCAAATGTCAGCTCCAATAAAGTCTAGACTGGGAGGTAATTAACTCTATATTGGCACATGTGGCCTCTTACACACCAAGCATTTGGCTTGGTATTTTATATTATATTGAAACAACTTTAACGTTTCGACAGACATGAGAGGTCATGAGTTTGCATAAGATAGGGTTTTCTTTCTTCTTGAACCCTCTTCGCCAAGCTCAGCCATGTTCATGGATTCCGTCGAAACGCTAGCACTTATCTATTTCCAGATCACAAATTTATGTAAGAAACAAGGAAAATGGTACTAATGGTATATTTGGTATGCATTTTTTTTAGCCGTTGATGAGCATATTTGAAGTCTTCCATGTTTAAAGGCCCGATATCAGCACTCCCACTCAAGCCGGAGCTGGTTTACCTTCTGCTAGGGCTGCAGCAACCTCTTGCATGCCATCAGTGAAACATATAAGATTAAAGTTACGTTAAAAAATGGTGAAAAAACACGAAAGATCGACCTTTTTTTTCCTTCTCCAAAAGCTCTTTAATCGGATGGCGTGCAGCAGTTACACATAGATCCTGCATTGTAGTAATAATTTTTCATATAGACACTAGATCTGTCATCAAGGTAAAAAAAAAATTGTTTCCAGTACTTCGAAAAAGAATTCAGATCCTGGCTTTCCTTTATAAATTTAAGTAAGAAGTAGTACAGAATGACGTGTTTGAAGTATCAATTACATTTTTCCACAAGAAGCAAGAAAACGAGAAAAACAATATCACACATTTATATATTACCTTAAGGTCACACTCGCTATTGCATCAAAATCAGCATCAGAAGATAAGTCCTCTTTGGCCCGTTTGACTTTCAATATCTTTGCTATATTGGGGAGCATCCGGCAAGTTTACCATCAATGTGTGTTGAATGCAAGAAGCTAATATAAACGAAGGAAGTGTGACAATACGTCAATCTTTTGAAGGCATAAAATGATGGCTTAAAGGCCATCCCACAACCTTCTCTAAGACCTACTCCAACCCTTAGAGTGAAACTCAAATTTTAGGTTCTAACTTACCTCAATTTGCTCCAACCCTTGGGGTGAATATGAGTTAAAATTCAAAACTCATTTACGAGGCAAATTTAGCCCGGGATTCCCTTTGGATTAGGGGGCTGGCCCACCATATATGTATATATTTTTTTAGTTTTATATTTATAAATTCATTGAATTCGATGGCTAAAATCTAATTTGATCAAATTCAACGGTAACAAAAAAAAAAAAAAAAAAATCTAACGGTTCAAATAATACAATGGCTAAAGTAATTAAAATTTTTTTTTTATCCGTTTCATATTCTTTCGTAGTGTTCCACGAGTTTCATGGAGCCGATTTAGTGATTTTTTTAATATTTATCGGAATCTAAATATTTTTAGGCTAAAATGTTCATAAAATTAAATTAGGATATTCTACATAATTTTTTTTCCTTAAAAGTTACTTTAAAAAAAATATTCTAAATTCATTATTTAATAATCTCGGGCTAAAAATTTAACCCATAAGACCAACTCCAATGGTGGGCTAAAAGCCAAATTACCCCCCAAACACACTCCAACCCAAGGGGAAGTTTTGAGCTAAATGCTAAATCAATGCCAAATTCCCCCCGAAATTTAGCCCAGAAATCGGGGTGGACTCTACCCAATATTTATCGGAATTTAAATTTTTTTAGATTAAAATGTTCATAAAATTAATTTACGATAGTTTACATATTTTTTTTTTAAATTTAATTTAACAAAAAAAATAGACTAAATTCATTCTTTAATAATCCCGGGCTAAAATTTTAGGGTAGAATGATTGCAGTAGAAAAGTTGTTTTTGGGCTAAAAGCTAAATTTTTCGGGCTAAAAAATTTGACTTTTAGTCCAACCATTGGAGATGGTCTAAGGGTTGGAAGAGAAAAATTGTTTCTAGGTTAAAATTTTTAAATTTTACTCCAAGGTTGGAGGTGGTCTAAGCTTGCAAAACAGGAGACAAAAAAAAAGTCACGTAAGTTATCAAAAACTCATCAAAACCTTACGAAACTAACGAGTTCTTGACATATCAGAAATAGCGCGCTTTCATTTGCAAGTATTTGATCCTTGCTGCATAGTGTCTTGACATATCAGGTGCTGCATCTCTATATATGTTTACTTTGATCACTAGAAAGTCTAACCGCAACCTCCCTTCCAAACATCCTTAACGTAGGCTGTTTGGTCCAGTGTGACATTAGCAAGAAATGCTACTCCCAAGCTTAATGTCTCGTTCGAGTCACAAATCGCTGCTATTTTGCAAATTTCTTTCTTCTCTCTTGGAACCCTTTCTTCACAGTTACAGTGAGACTTGCTCACTCTGGAAATACAATGGACACGCTTGCGCTGCAACGTCTTCATTGTGATCTTTTTGTTCTTTTATCTGCATAATTTTTCGAAAAGTTCAATAGCGCTTGTCAGATTCATATCACAGGCCAACTTATTGACTTGGACATGTCTCTAAAAGTACCATTGATTAACTGAATTTGTGACAATCCTGTGACTATGAAGGCGAGCTTGCTTCGGACAAGACAGTGGACATAGCAGAGGGTTTACTTCATCAATTCACGTCCATTACGAACATAGTAAAGAGTCAACAAGAAATGCAGAAATACTTGACATAGCAAATGATTTTAAAGTTCTGTAACGTAATGTGATGGCTAAATTTCGGATGGATACCTTTCAGTCGTTATACCAATTAAGCGATTTAACTTTGTAATGTGGCGACCTTTAGATCTGAAATTCCTTAGAGAAGCGCCTTCTCCAAATGTACTGAAAAACACTTAAAAGACTTTTTCTACTGAACATATTTTAACGTTTTCTACCAAAAACTCACGAATACGCGGTCTTAAATACAGTTTTAGTTATCTGAAAGCGCTTGAAATCCCCTTCAAAATACAATAATACTTCAAGAATACATTGTCGATTGTTCGATGCACAATTTCTTGTCAAGAATACATCATTTGTTGATCAGAAAAAAGTGTTCATCATGGAGCTAAAGTAGTTGGTTCACAGCCATCATGAACACAAGCCAAAACATCTTTATAATCCCTTGAGATAGTGAAGGAATCATACACCTTCCCATCCTTGCTCTTCTTGTACTCAAACAGAAGCGACGAGTGGTTAAATGCCGTAAGTTTTACGAAGCCAAAGTCGAAATCTCTGAAAAGGCTCCAACTCGTTTGCACCGGGCCAAAAGCAGATAAGTGGCTGCCTCCTCCACCAACAACAACATGTATAGTTCCATTCACAGTTCCCGAGTAATGAGACTTTTCTGTATTCACACACTGATTCTGCAGCACACGAACGTCATTGATGAAGGATCAGAATACAACATGTGTGCAATTTCTAGTTAATACAATCTTTTGTGTGCGTTACCTGGTAAATGGGGCATGTTCTTTCGTAGTTATGGACATGACCGTACAATGCAATGTCCACCTTGTACTTTTGCCAAAGCTTTTGCAAGCTTTCCCTTCCCATAGGCTCGCCAAATGCGCCACCTTGCCACTGTGCGGACGAATAACCAAGAACACGATGAGCAGCAAATATCAGCCAAGGCTGTTTCTGCCTGTCTGCGGACGCAAGGCATTTCTCAATGAATTTGTACTGCTCAGAGCCTTCCCTCCAATCGTGCTCACTGTCAGCTATGCAAAAGTGGAACATCCCATAATCTGTCGAATACCTGTAAAAGAACAGTTACAATATGCTTAACTACCCAATTTATCAGATGATTGGTATACTTTTATTTTTGCAAAATAATTGGTTTATTTACCAGAACTTCGCTCTGTTCTCAGCAGGAACATAAAACATAGTCTCCGCCAGGACACCACATTCGCCGCCTGAATCATTGAGGTCATAGAAGGATCCTGTCCCTGGTGCATCGCGTTCGTGATTGCCACTGTCAGAACACTTCATGTGAGTTTCAGAGGGAAATGTGAACTTATACATACATGCACAGAAACAAGGATAAATCGAGCAACAAACCTTGCAATCATATATGGCACATTTGATGCAATCGGCTCCACCTGTGACGTGAACTGATCCCACTGTGAGATGTATCCATTGGCATAGACAATATCTCCGATGTGAAATACTATGTCAATGTTATCTAAGTCCTTTATCAGTGTATCTGTAGTATTGAGTGAGCCGGGCTGATAATCAGTGTATTCATTTGAACCGTCACGCTCAGCCTGAAATTTATGAAACGAAAAGTAAATTTTCATGACTCAGCTTGATAATATGAACATTCACCAAGCCAGATAGTTCTTATTTTTATTGATGTTACCTTTCCCATGTCGCCAAATATAACCACGCGCTGTAATGAGTCCTCCCCCGGGTATGGTGATGACTTGAAGTGGTAGGACTTGCTCCAGATATAGGAACCATTAGATAATTTATGACCGAGCTTGTAAGTGTACAATGAGTTTGGCCACAAATCTTTTAGAAAACTTGTATGGATGAAACCAGGATCCCGCCAACCAACTGTTCGTGCTGGTGGACCTGCGAATCACAAGAACTTTCTTACATTAATTTTCTTGTTTCGATTGGCATTATCTGTATGAATTGGATTGACCATATGATCCGTACCACACAAGCTTCCTCGAGGGAAAGTCAGTGTTCCTGCTGGAGATCGAATTTGAGCTTCGCCCTTGAGACCCCACTTCACAAAAGGTACAGCTTTGTTGATGTTGTAGCCACTTGTCCAGGTTACTGTCATCTGCAAAAGAACAAAAGAACATTATTATAACTCAATTTCCGTCCAGATTTTTATGAGAAAGGAAAGTGGTGGATAAATTATATAAACTTACTTCATTCCAGTCCTTCCCTTGAGCAAGACGCGGGTAAAGGGGTACATTCGGATTAGCAAAACTTATAGAATTAGAAACTGCCACCAGTTTTGGCTGCATTTTGTGGATATATAGTTAGACAACACTTGAAATGTCAAAGTTAGCGTGAAGAAACACACGAAAATGGCGACACACTTGAAGTTTGATTAGTCTTTCCAAAAGCAATCAATTAGCTGAAATATTGAAACAGTGATATTTAATATTGTATGAAGCAAAGCTGAAAGAGAAGGGACATGAACGCACGGTAGACAGCCCGCCTGAGAATAATGCGAATGAAAAATCCGCCCGTTGATTGATCAACTGAAACTTCAAAGAAGCTTTGCCCGTTTTTGTATAGCCAGCATTGGAATCATTGGCAAATCTGTACTGAAATGAGAACATCAAGATTTCAGTACGCAGGTCAACGGTTAGAGAACAATAAGAGCTATAATTTCCTCAAATTCCAAGAGAGACTATGAATTTGAAATAACACAAACCTTTATCGGAGCTGAGCATATATTTGGAGCCACTTCTCTATCGTCGGTAGGTGGACAAGTCGATGAACTGCCATAAAAGATTGAGTTCGTGAATCTACTAATTTTTTTTTGGTGTGAAAGTATGACATTCTATATTAATCTAATCAATGGGGAAAGCATCCGCTCTAGTCAATGTGATTACACCTACGCTTGCAAGAAACGGATTATGTTGAAAACAACGGAGATTAAGAGTTAACAAGATGGACATTACTTGAAATCTGCAGGAGAAAAGACTGCCAACCAATCATCTTCAGCAGGCTTCGGACTTGCAACTTCAATAGTTACCCACTGAGAATCTTCCCCCTGAGCATAAAGTGAATTTTTCAGCCAAAATCATCGTGAAGATTATATAGATACATACATATATATATATATATATATATATGTATATATGTATATGTATGTATATGAGAAACTTCATAAGGGGATTCCGCTCCGCTGTTCATGTAGCGGGATACCCGATGTATATACGTATGGGCTAATAGCGAAGAGATACAGGTTGACATACTTTGGTGCCAAGAAGGACAGGGTAAGCTTTGACGGAAGCATTTTCGTGAAGGTCGTAAACAGCTCGGTGGATTTGAATCTTGGACAGCGGCTGCACCCCATCGCCGGCGTGCTTCTTGTGACTGTGATCAGCTGCTGTGAACTGCACCAGCAAAACCAACACCAACACAACTTTGACGGACAAGAAGCTGTAGCCCTCCATCTGTCCAAACTTCTGAGACCCAAGTGTTTAATCCTTGATTTTTCAACCATCTTGTACATTAGCAGGCCAGCCAAATTTGTCTCTACCTCTTTCTAGCCTTTCGTAATTGTTGACTAAAATTGCCGACTTTTGTGTTGAATTTATTGTTAAGCCTGCACCACGTGAGTGAGCTAGAGAAGCTGCATTTCTAAGATTCTTATTATTTATTTCGGTGAATAATTGTCTGCGTTTTAGTAGTATTTCTCTCTACTTATACGTGGAAGGTTTCAAATTTGAGTTGTGAGGATGGCGAGTTTAATATCAATATTACGGTTGGCTCTTTGTTTGACTTAACTAAAATTCTCAATTCTTTTAGTTTAATATCGTCGGATAAAATATAAAATTAAAAAACATACAAAAACAGAGTCTCACCCATATTCCTTATTGTTTAGGTAATAAACAATCACATTTTTAAATATTAAATTTAACCTTGTATAGCTAATTAACTATTTTAAGAATCTTGCAGTGCAAAGATAGCCGATTGACCGGACTGTTGTCGTTTAAGATAATACTAGATTAAATTCAAAATTTAGTCTCGTTAGCATTACTCTTTCGTATATCCAAATCTATAAAATAAGAACGGATATGTAATGAATGAATTCGATTCTTCACATATATCATACTTGAACAATCAGGTATCATTCTAATTTATGACTTCTGCTTCCAAGTCGGTAAGCACGCAGCCAGTGTAAACACATACCAAGCACACGGCAGTTTCTAAGCAATAACTTAGTCTACACATTTGAACAAGTAGACTTTGAAGACTTTGAAAAACATAAAAAAGGTAGATTTATGAGAGCATATTCTCCGTATCATGCTCTTGCACCACAAGCTTCTTCAGTTGACGAAATTAAAATCCAATGCAAGTCAAGGTTAATGATTCATTAATTTAGGAGAGGCAGTGTCAGTACAATTACAACGGAAATATATAATCTCAGTGAAGTAGTATCCGGGTTTCCCACCGTTCTAAAAATCCCCGTCTAGTGCCGCCTAAGCTTAGGCGCTACACGATTAGTCACCGTCTCGATTAATGCTTAAGCGTTTGAAAATTAAGGAAAGGGCGTCTATACCCGTATAGATGCCCGCCTAAACTACCTAAGCACCCGCCTAGGTTGCGACTCACTTAAATAGAAAATAAATAACTTCATTTTGCATTTTATTTTTTTTAATAAATTGTAAGAGACTTGTTGAATACTTAAATAAACACACATTATATGCTAGTTCCCCATGTTTTCATTATGTTCCAATTCTTCTTAATATATATATATATATCATTCTATTTTGTAGTTTATGATGTAATTACATATATTTTAAGTATACACAGACACTTATTTACATGAAATATAATAAATTTATTTAAATTCGCCTAGCCCCTCCCTAACTGCCTAGACGCTAGACCCCAACTCGCCGCCCAACTAGCATTTAGCGTCTTTTAGAACCTTCTTTTCCTAAGAAGAACTATCATTCGGATCAGTTGAAAGCGAAAAAAACTAGTAATGAGCCAGCAAAGCTCTAGCTACATTACAGAACTACAAAAGTGCTGGCAGGACTCCGGCACGAGCTTGGTGTTACACATTCCCTTCATTTATTCGTATCTACGCGCGTTAAAAAGATGGGGGCAAGCAGCTTCTCCAGCTCCACTAATCTGAAACCACATGAAAATAATTAGTAAACAAACAGAAATATGTTCTGGAGAATAAAATGCAGCAGAAAACATCAATCGTGGACTTACATCTCGTATTTCTGAATTGCTTCCTTTCGTTTCATCGCAAATGCATCACTATCTTTAGGTACATTGACAAACGCATTGCACACAGATAGTGGAGCTGGGAAGCAGATCAAACCAACAGAATTTGAGTCAAATAACAAAATTAAGAAGAAAAAAAATGCAAAAGCCTGTATAGCATTTAATATAATCTATATAGCTATCAATAGCCTTTAAACCGAGTTTATTTGATCATTAAACAGTTTATTTTGTTCAATTTTAGGCAATGGCTCCATTCTCCGTAATGCAACCAAACTAGAGAATGTGCTGTCGAAAAGACAAGCACATCGATCATTCCATTAGAATGGTTTTCAAATATTCCCTAGATTATAAAGAAAATGGTCCATACATGGCACTGGAGCTTCTTGTTTCATCTGCACGTCTTTGTGAACCTTTAGAGCGGCTGGTGTGTCGGGCTGCAAGATAACCTGCTCAACACGAGCAATATGACCATGTAACCCATCTAAACAGCATACAGAAATACATAGCAGTCGAGTGAAACTTTTGAATAGATTATGATCATTTAGTGGATGCATCCTCCATTGCAAGAAATAAAAACTACTGAGACAAACAATTCTTACTGATGTGGTCCATATGGAAGAAGCATCTGCATCTTCAGACGGACGCTTGGAATTTTCTAGGGTAATTGGGCTAAAACAAGAAGTATCCAATACCTTCCTCTTTTCCCGCCTCTTCAATATCTTCATATGGCACTTCTTGATGTAGTGCATCAAATGATACTTAGAATGCCTAGAGCACAACTCTGCTTGGATATCCGGGTTCTCAGTTAGCCAGTCTGCTATATCTTTGGACTTAACCACGTCATCTTTATCCAACGATTCTAACCAAATATAAACCGGTCTCCACTGATCAGTGCGTTTAAATCGAGCATGTGGAATATCAACATCACCTTGGTTTTCTTCCTTTCCTTCCTGCCATTTAACATTACAGAAACCATGTCAAAACTTCTGCATAATACAAAAAGAGCATTAGCCTAAAATCGAAAACCAAAGCCAAGTTAAATAATATTATCAATTCAAACATCAATGGTGTGTTTCCCAAAATCGATTAGTAAATTAGAAAAAACACCGATGACAGTTATAAGTTTTGCAGAAACACAAGAGCTTAATTGGAGAAAAGAACTCCTCAACTATCTACTCGCCACGCTCTAATTGATTCTTAGTTGCGAAATTCCGTTCTTACCTTTCTCCATTGCAAACCAAAAAGAGTATTTTTCTGAAGCATGGGGTTCGAGGTGGCCTTTCGCAAAGTGTAACCTTATCATGGGTTTATAAGCGAAAAGCCCGATCATTTTAACTCTATCCATAACCACATTTGCCTAGTAATCTGCCAGAAGGCACCCAAAACTTTCACTAATTTGCCTAAAAATCTCATCTTTCTAATCCCAATAGCTTCATCACACATAGATTACACCTTTAACAAAAACCCAATTTTTATTCGAAGGATTATCAAAATTTGAAACTGAATTGGTGAATTTGGGACCTGACTGGGGAGTCGCATGCAATTCTGAATGGCAATGAGGCGTTGGCAGAGGTCGGCCCGGGGCATGGATTTGATGCCTTGGGGTATGAAATCGAAGTTGGAGTCGATCCAGGCTTCGACCTCGTCCATGGAGACAGCCTTGGCCTCGGGAAACGAGCAGAGCCAAGCTCGGGCCATGGTCTCCCATTCCTGGGAGGACTGCTCGCTGGCGTTGTCGGTGTCGGAAACTCTCTGTTCCGCCGCCGCTTCTTCTTCTTCGGTTGCCGCTGGCGGTGGTGCTGGTGGTGTCGCTGCTAGGGTTTCGTCACCGGAGCTCGACATTTTGCTTCCCGCGAAGAGAACGGAAGCTGACAGCGCTGCGAATTTTTGCAGCTTTCTGTGAACTGCAATTAAAAACAGGGGGTGGAAACGACGTCGTTTTAACGGTGACATCTATTTTCTATTTATTCATATTTTAGCCCCAAGAGTTGAGCTGAGTTTCAAAAATAGGCCACAGAATCGTAGTTTTAGCTTTTCATACCCTATTTAAATTGTACCAATTTAAAACTTCCATCACGTTGACCAAAAGATCCGCTAAATGCAGAATGATCGTGTGTAAGAGGAGAACAACTCGTACAGTCACCATTACATCTGGTACCGATAATACAATATTATATGATGATGACGTCTGATGTTGATAATACAATACTATATGACGAGACGCACGACACGGCACGGGACGCCAACATGGCGCACAAATTCCATCTAGGAACGTGAGACTTTATATGGTATAACATGATGACATACGAAATAAAAAATAAGGATTATATTTCTCATATATCAAAAATATATGTTGTAGTTCTTAATTCTTAGCAAAAATAAAAAGAGTACATGTTGGAAGCTAAGCAATTTTCTTAATTTAAATTTTGTAACAAAATTTCTGGAATGCTTTCTCAATAACTGCATCCATTGCTCTATATAGTTATCCCAAGCAGAACTACCTGGTCTTGTGTGCTTTGGCCATCTTTTTCTTTCGTTTCTTCTCTTCTTTCACTTTGTTTTTGTTCTCGTTTCTAGCAGCTTTCTTTTCGAGAGGATCCTGTGCCTTGGTTTCGGAAGAGGAACTCTGCCCTTCTGAGTCACTTGAGTTCTCCTCATCTGTATCAGAGTCGGATTCAGTCTCAGGATTTTCAGACTGCTCTGCAGCAGTAGCATCTTGTTGCTGCTCTTTCTCCGATGGAGCTGGTTGACCTTGAGGAAGTGCCTCCTTCAGTCCTGTAATCGTTTTATAGTACATGTCTCCAGTGTCCTCTCCGCTCGTTAACCTTACTACATCCTGCTCAGCATTCTTCACGTCATCTAATGTCTTCGGAATGTATGACTGGAAAGAAGAGAAGAAAAATATATCAATATCTCAAAAGTTTAGGTGCCCACAATCACGCAAATACGCAAAAACGCAAAGTCAAAGCCATTCAATAAACATAGTTACATTGTCATCACCTGTACAAATACAGAGTCCTGCAATTTCCTCCTCTGCAGATGTATCTCCTCTTGCCGTAACCTTTGTTGTACCTGAAGTCAGCCAGTCAAACAGAGATCTTATTTAAGTTGTTTATCTATTTATTTATTGTTTGTACGGACCTATATTCTTTAATATTTGAGAACAAAATGGAAGAAATCAAACCATATCGAGATAACTCTCCACCGCATCATCAGCAATTGTTGGATCAACTATAAAATCAAAGAGCTCGCGAATTGTCATAACAGCTACACCATGTTTTCTGAAGAAATCCTGTATGCCGACAAATGCTTGGTAAGCTCAAAACACCAAATGCATTACTT